GAAAAGGAAGGGGAGAAAGCTGCAGCAGGCCAAACTGGTCAAAATTTACAGTTGGAGCGGAACAAGCGGCAAGAGAGCGGATGCACAGCCATTGACCATAAACTTGAAAACAGAACAGAAGCTAACAGATAACAGCCCACAGTTAACAGTGGCCGAGAGAGAGAGCGCCGGCAGAATGTTAGCCACTTTCGGCTGCCAATTATGCTCGGCGATGGAGAATGGAGAATGGGACTTAACACAATGTGACAGACGTCACTCAAATGGCCAAGAAGCGAGCGAAAAAGCGAGCACAAAGCGTTTAAGAAAATCAATAAATAAATATTTGAAGAGCAGAGCGGATGTTAAGCCAAGATGTCTCAAGCCTTAATTACCTTTCTTTTGACTTTTTGACAACACATCAGCTCCTTGGCCACGAAAGTAATAAGATATTTATGGCCTCTTTCCCCCATTTCCCGTACACTTTAAATATTAAAGTTAACCACCAGTTGGGTTGCATAAGATACATGCTTTAGATGGCTGCTGGCCAACACTGCGTATACTTAATTTGCAAGCCCTTAAATATTCAATTGGCAGAAGCGTCTTTTGACCCTCGGCATTCATTCATTCATTCTTTCACTAACTCGTCCTGGCTTTGTTTTTTGGCCAACGATTGTTGAACCCAAGTTCAAGAGTTCATCTCGAGGCAGCATCTTCTGCCCCTGGAATTTCATCTGCTCTTAGCCATGTTTATGGCCCCTTGTTGCGCATTTATCGTGCGGTTAAGCCAGTCTTTGCCACCCCGCAAGAACAACGAATATTAGCACTAGAGGGTTCCTTGACGCCTCCGTCTTTTGTATGAGAAATACGCTTTTATGCTCTCCATTAATTCCATTTGGCCACCCCGTCTGCGCTGTCTGTCCACCTCTCCCAAATAACGTGAAAAAAACAAAGGCTAAAATTGGTTTAATAGTCGCGACGAAGTCTGAGCATTTGAAAGTTTTTTCTTCATGTTTCTTTTGCATATAATTAATGATTAGTTGGGTCAGTCCATGGGTTTTCAGGGGCTTGGCTTTACGCATCATTATCTGGCGTTCATTACCTTTTTATGTTTTGGGAGAGGGAAGAAGAAGAGGTCTCGACGAAAAGTGTGTGAGAAGTGTGACTAAACTCGGTCTGGGATGATTAATGTTGAAGTAGTGGTTTTATTTAGCTACATTTTAGCTTTTCATCAGCACTCACGGGCTACGATTATTTCAAGAAATGATTTTCTATATTCATAGAAATGATTTCATTCGTTGGGCCTTTCCCAAGAACTGGGGGCTTCTATTATATTGTCTAAATTTTTATTCTCTTCCCAGGAACCTGTGATTCTCGTATTTCTTTCACACATTTCCCTGTTATGTGGAACGGTTAATCCAAGGTCTTCTTCTAAGCTCTATTATGTAAACGAGCCGACCATTTTAAATTTCATTCGCTTACTGTCACAAGCTCGATAAAATTATCTATGACTGTTTTAATTAAAGTTACTGTGGCCAACAGACCTAAGCCGTATTTATGCTGAGCTCAGAGGCTTAGGTTGGCATTCAACTGGGGTTCTTTGGACATGGAAACCCCTTTGATACAGCCTCTGCTTTAACCACAACTACTATATATCTTGTTGGTAAGTTTGCTCTTCTGCTTTAGTCGAAACAAGCTGAGGGTTTCATTCATTCACAGTGTTAGCTGTTTGGCTTTGTGTTTAAATGCGAGAATTAAATGGGAAAGAAGTAACAGCTTTCTGGCGAAAAATCAAAACACGTTTTTCAGCGGCAAGGCCACACAAATCAAGGCAGCAGACGAACTCCAGGTACACCTGGCCCACCTGGCAACCGATGAAGATCCCGACCCCGGCACGTCTTGTCAGTCACAGCGCACTCCCCAATCTTCCCATCCTCCGCCCAGACTCCCTCATCTAGTCATCAGGAGCTCCCTTCTTTGTGGTTCGTCTGGCGAAATTTCCATTTCGTTAAATGTGGAGAATTTACGAGCTTTCTGGCTGCACGTGCACATGTCCTTTCTGTCCGAAATGCTTTACGAGTCCTTGCAGTCATTTGGATTTTAGGGGCTGCCGCCCGGGGTGGCTTTTCTAGGGGGGGATTTTCTAAATTTTTCTTTCGGTCCCCGACTTCAATGTTATTGAACTTTGGCGTCTCGACGTCTGTGACACGAGCGAATAAGTTTCTCGGATAACGCAAATAAATTTTAAGCAGCCCAGACTTTTGGCCAGAAGAACTGCAAAAAGATATACAAGTGCAGGGATATATGTATATACACAATACGACTGGGGCATTGTGCACTTGTGTCAATAACCCTTATTAGGCGAAAAGCACAAACTCCCACAAGTCATGCAAGCTCATGCAATTTTCTTGGAAATTCGTCGAAAGGACGACATTCTGCAAATACTTTGTGGCAGACAGAAACTTTGGCTTGAAAACGTATAGGTACGCTGATAATTCTAGCTTTAAATTTCAATGACCCGGTCCCGTCTTATTCTGCCAAATGTCGGCTTGTTCACCTTTCTTCCCTAGAAGATCGGAGAACTACCAGTTCATTAGTTTTCATATGTGATTTGCTGACCTCTGAAATCGACTGCCCCGCACTGCTGGGCAGCATAGGGTTATCGGTGCCTGGTAGATCGTTAAGAACGTTTGAACCATTTTTTGTACCGGCTTACAGAGCCAATTATGCCCACAATGAGCCGTTGTGTAGAGCCCTGCATTTTTATAATAAGTTGCCATCTCACATGCGGTTGGATCCATGCTCCCCCAGAGATTTAATCAAGAAAAACTTGTATAATTATTTTGCCTCACTTAGTATTTAATTTAGTATTAGTTAGTAGCCAGTTAAGGTTTTTTTTACTGTTGGCGAATAAAGAAATAAATAAATAAATAAATAATAATTGCTTGAAAAACTCTCTTTTTCCTTTGCAATTAAAGGGAAGCCACCCAACGATTTTTGTTGGGTGCTAAAAATAAATGCAAATCACATTTTAGTTGGATGTAATCACCAGCCAAACACCCTGCCAACTGCCCCAAGTTGCCACGCCCTCCGCCCGGTCCCGCCCTCTTTGTCCTGCATTAAAAGCATTAACATTGCCAGTGGCAACACAGCACAAACTGAACTGAAGTTGCAATTTAAGCGATGCTGCTGCGATTCCCCCTTAGTTTCGCCACATGAAAGGGTGAATATGGCTTAATACTCAACTTAATATTGTACTTTTATTGCCAAGGGAGGGTCACAACTTTTTATAGTTTATAACAGTTTTTAAAATATTCCAATAAAGATTACAGTTGTTAATTAATAATAATTAAGTCCAGAAACTCAAAAATTGTTACTACTTTGTTTTCAAACGTTCTGATATTTTTTTTTCAAAGTTTTGATGGCTTTAAAATTATTGTAGAGAACAAAAAAATGTCAGTTTAAAAGACTGTGCAGTTTTATTAATAAAAAAATTTTATTAAATCTTAAATAATATTAAATAGAATTGACTATTATTTTTTTAAAAGTTTTAATGGCTTTAAAATTATTATTAGAGAACAAACAATTTTTTATTATATCTAAAATAACATTAAATAAATAAATAAATTAAGTTGAAAAAGCAACTGTAATTTTATTTACTAATTTTATATTCTTCTCTGACAGTGAAATGCGTTAAATACAGGATACCTCTAAGTAATGCTGACGATGCATTCGAGTCCCTGCCACTCCTCCAAGTGTACACACATTTACGTGGGAAGGATGCCCACTTTGGTGACGTGACTCCGTGAAATATGCAATGGTTTTTTGTTATGTTGCTACCAGACTTTCGCATTTTGCCCACTTTATGGCTCCAAATGCTGTTTCCCCTTAACGACAGCGCGAGCCCCTTTCACCCGTTTCTCCCTCCTAAGCCCCCCTTCTCCGCCCCTGTGTTGTCTTGCAACTGGCCTAAAGGGGTTGCATATTCGCCGCTCCGGCCCTTTGTGTTTGTTGGGCTTTTGTGCAGCGAGTTGCCCGGGTGTTTTAATGGGCGGCTGGGTGCAGATGCAGCAGAGTGCTTAACGCTTTATTTTCATTAACATTCCTAAGTTGCCTCTTCAACGGCTTTAAGCTGGGCGACTGAGCGGCGCATGCGCCGTGGGTGCTGTTAAGGAACAGAGTCCTGCGACAGGACCTGCAATTAGCAACTCCGTTGTCGGAGATGTAATGCTATAAGGCCAAGAGGAAGGGTTTGCAATTGTAGTAATACCCACATGCCATATGCTTGGCAGTTAAATGAACTGTTTCGTAGGGTTCAGGGTTTTGGTGTCCTCAAAATAAATTCTATCAGCCATCAGCTTTTTGCAAAGCCCAACCACCACCACCAATATTCCCATTCCCTTTCCCCAACCGCTTTTAAATTATTAAAGTATATATAGACAAAAATAAAAGGTAAAAGCTTCTTATCGATTTTCATTGTTGCACAGAAAATAAATATTAGGTTTCTAAAATAAATTTGAAAAAATTAAAAATAAAAGCAATTTAGGTTTTCTTATTCTTATTTTATGGTTTATAATAATATAAAGCTATTTTATAATTTAATTTAATAAAATATTTTATATTCTAAAATAAAACACAATTCAAACATTTGCTATCTGCAATAAATATTCTGAGATTTGAAGAATTTCTTAAGTTTTTTATATTTTACTTATATAATACCTATCTTATTTCTCTCCATGTGGGCTATGTTTGCGGTTTGAAAACACAGACACTTCTCAAGAGAATGCTGCAAAAGGCGGGTCGACATCCCCGGATGTTATTGTTGCTACCGATTGACAATATGAACATTACAAGGACTGCAAGGTTGGGGTTGAAAGCTCAAACATATGGTTGCTGTGAGAGAGAAAGAAAGCTCCCGATTTCCAGGAAAAACGTATGGGATGGTGTGGGTGGATTTCGCTGTTATCGATACCAGCCACCCCATCAGCTGATAACAAAAGCTCCTCGTTGCTAAGGGTGAAAAAGCTTCGAAAATAAAGTTTTCTAATTTCCTGAACACCTTCCATTGGTTTACATTTCGCCTGGCTCCTGATTTTCTCACAAATAGTAAAAACTTGTTGAAAAAATTCAAAACATTCAGTAAAATAATCCTAAAGCCGAGAAAGGTCACAATCTGATTATTTTCACGCGCTCAATTGTGAATCAAAGAAACGTTAGCGGTGGCGAATTTGCGAAGCCCGAATAAGAAGGCCAAAAATCAATAAGCGTGTACAAATTGTAAACACGGCAAGCCCTCGACCAGCCTCTCTCGGTTTCTCTCTGCGGAACCACCCCTGCCACCAATCCTCCAGTTCCAGTCTCAGTCCCAGTGAACTGTGACCGCCAGCTGCCCGAAGGGAAAAGCCTCAGTCGTGACCGTAAAACCGCAGAAATCACCATTAGCCACCGAAATGATTACCAACTTTGCGCTGCCTCTGCTGCTGATGATCGCGGGAGCAGCAGCCACCGCGGAGCAGGTGGAGTACCTCAATCCCCATCCACAGCCATCTTCGCCAGCGGAGCACCGACTTAGCAAACGAATGGATCTGGAAGTGTGCATAGGTGAGGCCATCTCGGGAAAATACATCCATATTGATCGACGATTAAACTGATTACGATGTTGGCCATTGGTTTTAATTCAAATCTTCTTCGTATCTTTTCAAAAATACTAAACTAAAACTTGATAGACCCTATCAAATTAATGTTAGTTATCAAATGATCCCACCATATAAAAATGTGAAATGAAATTGATATTACACAGGCACTTATAAAAACTGACAAAATCGAAAAGATCATGGTTACGTTACTAAAATGACTAGAAAGTGGTTGAAAATTATTTAAATTTTTTTAAGTTTGGTGGTTTAATATTATGCATATCTGATATTTTTGAAAAAAGATAGTCATATTTTATTTTGTTAAGACTATAGTTATAAATCCCTCAGAGCTAATCCCTCACTTCCACCACAGGTCACTTTGATGTGCATAAGAACACGATAATCCGAACCGGAGAGTCGCAGGCGATTGGAGGCAAGTACCTCCAGGGTCTCGAGTTGGACAGTATCGAGGAGTGCGAAAGGTTGTGCTGCGAGACGGTCGCCTGTGATGTGTACATCTTCGAGCGGAAGGCCGGTGGCTATTGCTACCTCTTCGAGTGCGGGCCTCCGGAAGATTTCCGCTGCAAGTTCACGCGGCACGCCAACTACACGAGTGCCGTTCTGAACCCTCAACCGAAGCTGGCCAGCGAGTTGGTCAGCACTCCGCGTCCGCAGTTGCCCCACATCCCCAGCAATAATGTGTCGCAGCAGGAATGGGAGCTGAGCAATCTGAAGTTGAAGCCGGAAGCGAGGGACAAGCCCACAGTTTCCACCGCCGCGGTGGTGGCTCCCACATTGGGAACGGGTGTGGGAGTGGCTGTGGGCCAGTCGGCAGTTTACCCAGCTCAAAGCGGTGAGTTGTGGTTTTCAATATGCGGTACTGTTAAAATACAGGGGTATATTGGACTTGAAAGAAAATGTGTTAAAAGAGAGTCTAATAATTTTAATTCTAATCAGGCTACATTTTTAAATTGACGGTGGCTTCAATATAAAACATTGCTGTTAAAACAAATAACTTAAAAAATTCTCTATTACCCAGTATTATTTTGTTGTTCTCCGGTAATTTACCTAAATAACTACCTAACGCCCCAATTTCAGCCCCCGCTGCGCTTTGTGGTCGCTTCCAGTTCACTTGCCATTCCGGAGAGTGCATCGCGGTCTACAATGCCTGCGATGGAATACCCCAGTGTGAGGATGGAAGCGACGAGGGACCGGAAGTGAGTTGCCCTTTCCCCACCAATTGTGACCCTTTTCAACCGTTAATTACTAACCCATTTTTTAGTGCAACGCCGTATCGTCGGCGGCCACAAAATCGGGCAGTAGCAGCAGCAGCAGCAGCAGCAGCAATCTGGAGCCCGCGAAGCCCATGGTTCAGCAATATCTGCCTGTGCAGAACGTGCAACAACAGTTGCAGGTCGTGGCCCAGCAGCAGCAACAGCAGCAACAGCAGCAGCAGCAACAGCAACAGCAGCAACCACAACATGTCTATGTTTTGGGTCCGCCACCAACACCGCCGCCGCCACCGCCCATGGTGAACAATCGGGAAGATGCTGCCGCCCGGGCCAACCGCAAGATGATTGCCGAGGGGCAGCAGCAACAGGAACTGCCACTGCCACAGCAGCAACAGCAACTGCAACAGACGCTTCAGCAGAAGGCCGAGATCATAAGCACTGGTAAATAAAGATAATAGAGTATGGGAAATGTAATTAAAAGGGAACATTGGCTCTAAGTAAGGAGATATGCATATAAAACAGGGGTACATTTCCTCTTTTTAAGGCTAGAAAAATAGTGTAGGTTTAATATTCGCTTACTCGTTTTCAAATTTGGAAATAAAGTGGTGTGTGCCGACTACAATCTTAAGTGACTAACTTCCGCTTTAGCCCTGCCACCGAGACTTTTAATTTTTAATTAAATTCGATTGAGTGTCCAGCACCAATTAGGTTTAGCCAGGGAGACAAGGCAGACTGACAAAACTAAAAATTGAGTAAATATTTATGAGGGAAGAGAATGGTCCCCGGAGGAGCCGGCGCCCAGTGCGACATTAGCACACAAATGGCCGGCAAAGAGCACGCAATGAACCCACTTCCAGGGCCACTTGCCTGCCCCTTTTCCCGGGGCTTTTCTTCTGGGAAAATCGCAAATTGCCCATCAGTTTTCATTGTGTGAAATGGGAGCTGCCGTCGCTCGAAATTGATTTACGGATGTTTGTGCAATGTGCGTGCTGTGTCTCTGTCTACTCGTAATTAATTCAATTAGCTGTGCGTTAACAGAGAGCCACACTTCGTACTTCCTTGTGACGCTTCCACTTTCTTGCAGATGAGCAGAGCCACATATTCAGCCACAAAGGCGGCCTCCAACTGCAGCAGCCGGCGAGCGGACAGGGGCAGATCCAGGGAGCGGCGCCGGTTCAGGTTCAGGGGCAATCAACACCGCTCCAATTGCCCGGCTACGATGGCAATCAAGCTGTGTACGGCATGTCGCTACCACGCTCCGGAATTTATTTGCCACAGCAGCAACAGCAGGCCCAGCAGCAACTCCAGGTGCCATCCAATGTGGCGTGGCCCCCACAGACGCCGCTGGCCCCGCAGCAGCAACTGTTGCCGGTGCAGCAGCAACCATCGCTGATACCGCAGCCATCTGGTCACGTCTATGCTGCTGCTCCAGGCATCCAATCCCAGCCAGCTGTGCAGCAGGCCATGCTGCCTGTCCTGAATGCAGCACCTGCGGCTGGCAAAAATCAGGGCCCAGCGGTGGACGGGGACTACGAGGACTACGATGACGAAACGTTCACAGAGGCGCCAAAAAAGGTGGGATTCAACAGGATGTCCTGCAAGAAACAAATATATGATTACTTTAAATCCACAGAAGCAGCACAAGCACAAGAAGGTCAAGGCGAAGACGGCCAAGGATCCCATTGAACTGGCCCTGGAGCAGAACAAGCAACAGCAGGAAGCTCTTCCCGTGCCCGTTTCTCCGGTGCACGAGCAGTACAAGATGATCCACGAGAACCTGGCGATGGAGTTCCGGGACCACGACGGTCACTCGGAGCGCCCCGGAGGAGCAGTCCTCTCGCTCACCCTGGGTCTGCTGGTGACCGCCGCTCTGGCCATTCTCATCGGATGCCGGATGCGAACGGTGAGCCGGAGGGCACGACGACTGGGCGGCAAGACGCCCTATTCGCAGGAGGCCGACTTCCTGGTCAACGGCATGTATCTCTAATTTTCGAGATGCCTGCGGGTGGGACGGGGGCTGGCCAAGATTCTTTGTGTTGTTCCACGTGCGGCAGCGTGCATATATTTATGTTCAATAGTGTAATGGGAAACATATTTTATATAAACAAAGATGTATCGAATAAAATTAAAACTTAAAGTAACTACTTGACATTTATTTTTGGCAAGGACCCTGAGGAACCCGAATTGTTGATTTGAATACCGTTCGAAGCGATTAAAGAGCCGAAATTATAATTTTGCAAATATTTTTTATTTAAGTTCTTTTCCATCCTCCGATTTCCGTTTTTGTTTTGGTTACGAAAAAAACTTACAATTATTTTGTTATGAAATCCTGTTCAGTTTTTTCATTGATGTGACACTGACTGTTGTTTAGTCATTAAAACTACAAAATAGTAGGAAGTTGGTTTTCATACAATTTTTCTTGATTTTCCTTTATATATCAGCTCTACACTCGCAATTGCCTTTGTTCAAAGTAACAAATTTCGCTGTGGCCATTACATTTTCAAATCTAAAAACAATATAAATCAAGTATTTCTGGAAACTATTTGGCCAAAACACAAATCTCAAACGCTTAAAAATATCACATTAAAAATTTAACCGAATCCGATTTAATATATAAATAACACAAATTTATAAAATTTCTTTTTGGAATTTGGAATAGGTTGTCTTAAGTTTTGTATACATAGATTTATTTCGTTTTTCGTTTACCACTTCATATTTAGTCTTTTGTTGATGAGAATTTTCCTTGCTGTGGCCAGTTTTTAATTGAAAATCATCTTTTACGAAGTTTACTGCCCTGACATTGGTTGCATTAATATATTACGCATTAAAATAGGCTTTTCTCTTTACTCGTTTAGCTCCATTTTCACTTAACACTGTACACATATAATGTAAACTAATTGTATTTATATTTATTTATGCAGTTGAATAGTTTATAGTTTAATATGTCAATGTGCAATTTACGATGCAATTTTTTATTGAATGTGTTCCTCTCGTTTGACTCGTTTCAATGTTTTCGGTTGCTAAGCGATCTAAAAACAAAACTAGTTTCCGAAAATTACAACTCAAGAAATCTCCAAATGTTTTTACAACTTTTGTATTAACTCGATGTAAATATAGGCTGAATTGGATTGGATCGACTGGCTGTTGGCGGTTGCTGTTCATGCTTCGTGTACATGTTATGGTAGTTTTTACTGTTAATTTATTAGTTATCGTAGTTTAATATATATTTATAAAATAGACTTTCTCCGTTGCAAGATGCGAATTTTCGTTTCTGTTGTTGCAGTTTTCGGTTTGTGGTACGTTTACGATGCCGGAACTTACGCATCATGTTGCGTACCTGCGCGTGGAATTAGAAGATGCGTATTATTATTTGGCGGCTAACATTATTTTGAAGCAACCTACCGTTTTGTCCAGAGACGCGCAATTCGATCATGCTCCTCTCGATTCTGCAAATATTGCGTGGCAATGCTGCCCACCAGCGGATCGGCTGAAAAGGATTAAATATTATTAATATTTGAGTGGAAAATTTAAGTTTTCCTAATCAGTTTTTGGATCTCTTTAGAATTTAACTAGAGGAAACTCAGAAGTACACAGTCTAAAATATATTAAGCAATGTCTATAAGGTATACGTAAGTCTCAGAGCAAAATAGAATTGGAAGATACATTTTAAAATCATTAATCACATTAGCAAAACTTCATAAAAAAGCTAGCTTTTTGGGAGAACATTACTAGTTTGGAACATGGAACTCAATATTTGAAAGTGATCAAGCGTCTAAGTAATAAGATTCTTCTTTATTAAGGCCAATATTGCATTAAATGTATTATCAATGATGCTTTTTGATCCTCACCTGGATTACAGTCTGTGAGCAGGGAGCAAATTGACAGCAAGACCTTTGATATGGTCAGCGCCGGCGACCAGTTGTCCTTGAGTATGTCCAGGCAGATGACGCCCTGGCTGTTGATGTTGCAGTGATAGATGCGCGTCCGGAACGTGACTTTGGGTGGCTTGAAGGGGTACTCGGGCGAGAAGTGTATGTCGAGGAAGAAGACGCCGCCCTCGTAGACGGATCCGGGTGGTCCCAGGATGGTGGAGACCCACTCGTACAGGTTGTCGCCCTTGGGCCCGGCACTGCAGTTGGGCGGTGGGTCCAGTGTGATCTCGGCCAGCTCCTTCTGGATGCGCTTGGCCGACGTGCCCAGGGCCTTGGAAATTCTGGGCGTTGGCTTGGAGTCCTTGCGCGGCTCATCCCCGCCGGCCGCATTGCTGCCGGAGGCTCCTCCGTTGGCGTTACTGCCCCTGCCACCACGAGCCTGCGGCGTTCCGGCGGACGGGGGCTGGCTGGGATTGCTCACGTTGCTGGCCGTCGTGCTGGGCGCACTCGGGGCATTTGAGGTGGCACTGGAGGTGGCCACCTCGGCGGCACTGCCCGCTGCTGGGGTTGAAGACATTCTTGGTCGTGGTCGTTTGGGCTGTGGAGAGCAGGGAAAGATTAGAGCTTACAGGTTGCATTGTTATATATTTACAATTACGTTTTTATAGTCAATAATAATTTTCCCCACTAAAGGTAAAAACGAATTCTAAGAACTATGGTTTGCCGAGAAATTTCTGTCAATACTTCATGTGGTAATCCTATAATTCTTTGTTTTATGCATTTTGGTTCAGATTTCTGAACATCCTTGGAATATTACATCAGAACTGTGGGTGACAATCTAGTTTATAGAGAGGTATAATTTTTACCGCCAATTAAGGAATTCCTAGAAATATTTGTCAATATTTGGTGCTTGTTTGTTTTGAGAATGATTTGTGGACTGTAGCCCTGCATGAATGGATTCAATGAATTATTTTGACATTTTTGCTTTATATGAATGAATTAATTAGAATTTTGAGTTTAATAGAATTAAATGAATTTGAATTTTGAGTTTAATAGAATTGAATGAATTTGAATTTTGAGTTTAATAGAATTGAATGAATGAATGGCATGAATTATAAAATAATTCTAACGATAATTTCTTTTTAAGAAGAAAGGGCCATTATTTTGTGGTTAAATCTGACTGAATTTTATTTACTATGCTGTTAACATTGATTTGTTAAAAATTTTCCACTTGTTGTTCTCAAAAAAAGGGCACAAAAAAATGTGGCAAATTAAAAAAATTCAATAAATTTATTAATTCATTTCGAAATTAATTAGAAAAACATTCGATTTATTTGACATAGAATTGAATTAAACAAATCAGAAACTTCATGGCATACTAGGATAAAACAAACATTGAATGATTCACGCAGGGCTCTATTGTGGACCCTAAAAAATGTACATTTGTGTTGAATGTACATAATTTTCCCGTGATCAAATCCCTATGAAAATTACTGTTAGTGGAATCCAGCTATTACAAGCAGATCATGGCCAGGGTTTCCCCAGGGTAGAAACCCTATAATGGTTTGTTTTTAATGCGTGTTCAAGATTTCTGATAACCCTCGGAAATGTACATACATTTACGTTGAATATCCTTATAATTTTCCCGTGAACTTATCCCCATGAAAATTGGTGCCAGTGGAATCCGGCTATTACACGCAGATCTTGGCCAGGGTTTCCCCAGGGTCCTTGACCTGGTTTTCCCACCCAGTTTCTGCCTCTTTACAATGACAGGGGTTTGCTTTTTCGCACAAACGCACACATTTCTATTGAGCAGCGGCAGCGGCCATTTTGGCAAACACCCGGCGCCGAGGAAAGGGGGATATTCGAGGGGTGTTCAAGGCCCCGAATCCAGGTATTATCCCCGAGCCAGAACCAGGTGATACTGCCCCCGCAGACCGCTGAGCCAACCGACTTGAGCCGCATGTGCTGCATGCCGCAAAAAATCAATCAGCAGACATTTGCAAAATGCCGCCGCCGACTGAGGATGATGCCGCTGCTTCCGCCGTCTGCAGATTGCACAATTCCGCGGAACTCGGACGCCACTCTATCGGTGGTGCACCCAGGGAACTGCCCCTGGTACACTATACACACCTCACTGTCGCAGCTCCTTCACTTTTTTCTATCACAACACTTGCGAAAATGATTCGCTCGCCTTTGCCTGTGTCGCCTGCTGCCCTCTCGCTCGCACTCGTGCACTGCACACGGCCTTCGCTGTGGCTGCAAGGCTGTTCCGCTGGCGTCCTCGGTGGGTGGCAGTGTGGGCAGTCCTGCTCCGGCGGTTTTCACCTTTCCAGTCGCTTTTATTTGGCTAAAATACAGTTGGCAAATACGCGGAGACGCAGAGCCGTCTTTATCTTTGTTAGAAACTCGATAATTTGTATGTTTGTAGTCGGCTATCGCTCCGGGTCCGTCTCTAGCTGGTGGTGGGACGCTCATCTTCAGGGAACTATCGATGGCCCTGGCAGCCCTGATTGCCCTTTTCTCCGATCTGGCAACTCTTTGGTTGTATCGTTTTTGAGATTTATTCGAAATTTGTTTAGTTAAAATTATTACAGAATATTAATGTGTAAAACAATTTACCTAGCATTAAATTCTTCATCCAAGTGTTTGATTTGTATTAAAACACAACATAGTTCCATACAATATTTACTTTAAACTTTAAACCTATCTTGTATTTATAAAAGTTTACAAAGTTTAGGATTACTTCGTCTCCATATCTTCAGCTAACGCCTTGCGGGACTTGAACACTCGCACCGTGTTGTCGGCACCGCCGGAGACTATGTACTTGGGATTGGACCAGTCGATGTCCAGGACCTTTTCGCCGTGACCCAGAAGATCGTACAGAGGGGCCTTGGGACTCCTGCAGTCCCACAGCTTATTCTGGTTGTCATAGGCCCCGGAGACGAAGAGGAACTCCTCCGTGGTAGACCACATGACGCTTTGCACCCAGGCATTGTGCCCCAGGTAGGTATTCCGGACCACAGATCCCTCTGAAAGAGCAGATTAACAAGGGTTAGGATAGGTATTTTTTTGGGAAATGTGATCCTACGGTTTGTCCTGGCATCGTAGAGCCTCAGATTCTTGTCCGCCGAGGCCGTCAGTATCAGGCGGTTGAGCTTGGAGTAGCTGGCATCGAATATGGACTTGTTGGTGGATATCTCGGTCTTGATGCCCTCGAGGCTCAGATCCCACACCTTGAGCGTGTGGTCCCAACTGCCAGTCAGCAGAGTAGTGGCATCCATCCACTGCACGGCAGAAATGCTCTCCCGATGTCCCTGCAGCGTCATTTTGGGGGTCTGCAAAAGGAATATACAACTAAGTACGATTGTATTCAAAAGTGTAGATGAATACCCACCCGCACGCCGCTCTCCTTCATGCGCTTGGATGTTCCCTCGGCCGCATCCTCTACCGCTGCCGACCACACCTTCAACATGGTGTCCCAGGAGCCGGTGGCGAATCTCTGGCCATCGGGACTCACACTGACGCTATCGACGCCCCGCTCGTGGCCCTTGCAGACGGAGACGCACTCCACCGAGTTGGAGGCCACGCTCCACTGCCACAGCATGGCCGTCTGGTCCTGCGAGGTGGACACGAAGCGACCGGCCTCCTCGTCCAGCGATATCCAGTCCACCGCCTTGATGGGCGCCGTGTGGCCGGGAATGGTGAGGATGTGCTTGCCCTTGTTGGTCCACAGGTTCAGGGTGTTGTCGTAGCAGCCGCTGAGGATCCACCTGCCGCTGGCCTTCACCGCCGACACCCAGTCGTCGTGGAGCAGGCAGTCCTGGGGCTCCGGCGCCGGAAAGCGCTCCACGTACTCGATTTCGATGGCGTCCTCGAAGCTGATGGCCTTCTCGCGCAGGTGGTCGCACAGCCGGCCGCGCAGGTACTCGTCGAAGACCAGGAAGTCGAAGTCCGTCTCCGAGGAGCCATCTTTTTGGCGCAGAAGGGCATTAACGAATGTGTTTAGCTCCGCGGTGGTAACAGTTCCATCGATGGCGTACGGCACATCCGGCACGGCGTAGCTGAAAAGAGGATCCCGGATTAAATGGGAACTAAGGACGCTTATAAAATGGACACCCACTGCTCCTGCTTGGTCTTCAGATGCACCTGCACCTGCCCCTCGCCGTTTTCCACATCCATCTCCTGGCCCACGTGCGTTTTCCCTGGCACTTGATTCTGCTCCGGATCGGGGCTTTCCCGCCAAAGTATATCGGTGTTATGACTTAACTTCGGTTGGTTGGAGCTGCAATTGACCAGTCAACTGGTGGTTCTTCCTGGGGGAGTTCGTTGTTCTCGGTTAAATTGTAAGAAAGCGTGTTTTCAAACGACCGACTGTAAATGCAACAAATAAAACGAAATGCACTAAAAAAGGCCAACGTGTTATCGCACTTGTATCGATAGGCGCTAGTCTTTTGATTTAGTTTTTATCGATTCTTTGCCGCCAAACGATTTTTTTTAATTTACGCTTTTCAAATAAAAAACTATTAATGGGGTAGGTTAAATGCATACGATTTTATATTGATATCTCATTCTTTTCTTCTCTGTTTTCTTACATATTTTCAATTTATTTATTTCATTTTTATTTATTTTTCTTTTTTCTACTATTTTCTACATAGTTTCTAGAAAAGCTATGTAAATATTTTAATTTTGTCCAAGTAATCTTCCTATGGGCTGATATTGCATACAGTATATATACAAAATATTTCTTTATATTTAAATACCATATTATTATTTTTTTAATGGCCTTTTAGTCTGAAAAGCCCCTCATGACGTCGCCACTGAATTTTCGATTTTTTTTATTACAGCCAAAATAGTCACTTAAAAGATACAAGCCAAATTCGCAATATTGATAATTAAATATTTTTGCAAGCAAATCAGACTCTGACGATTTGCTGTAACTTAGCCAGTCGATCTCTATCCCTCTCTTTTGCTCGTCTTACGCAAAACGGAAAAATAAAAAACGACTGGTCGGTGGCGGCAATTTGTAAATGACTCTTCAATCTCCAAAGACTGGTAATTGTTAATTTTTTTCGTACAGGCTATTAATATGAACCAGATAGCACCTGAAAGACCACTTTGCAGCTGAGTGTGCACTGGAAGGTTAAACGCCACTTGACATTTCTGAAGAGGCGCTTAACCTTCGCATTAAAATTGGACAAATGCCCAAGAAAATATTTCCAATAAAAGCAGTATTTACCTTAATGGGTCGATGGGGATATTGCGCTGGAAGTAATAACACTTTTTTATTGGATTGTTTTTACTGCAAAACTTTTGCAGCTAGTGGGGCTTCACGAAAACCAGAAACGAAGCGTACTGAAAGAGCTGAAGCTTTCCAGATTTTCGGGGCTTCCAGCGGCGGCGCTCAGCTTATAAAACGGGCTCTGCGCCTGCGCAGCCGAAACATTACAACAAACGACGCGCGCCAGGTAAGACCCCATTCATATTTATCCACTGGGAGGAGATAGCGTTACTGACTCCGCGAATCTCCCCTTGCAGCTCAACCTACAGACCACAAACTCACTACAAAATGAAAGTGTTCGCGCTGTGTTCGATGCTCGCCCTCCTGCTGGCCGGCGCCCAATCCCTGCCCCAGAATCGCGAGGGAGCCGCCTACACGAACGAGGCCATCCGGCAGGCCCAGCAGACCCTGCTCATCCCCAAGGATGCCCAGATCCAGAACGTCCAGGAGGGCATCGAGCTGGGCGCCTACGAGCAGATCCCCGGCAACCAGCGTATCAACCTGTTCGAGATCCTCGGCGACCAGGTGCCCTCCGAGGTGATAAACAACCTGCAGTCCCAGGTCGACCAGATCGGTCGCAACTAAGTCGTAGGACCACTCTCTTGGATAGCTCATTGCATTTCCCCCTCCTCCATTGTTAAGTTTCTCCTCAGTAATAAATGAAAAAATACCCCTATTTAATCGGAGCGTTTCTGAATTCTGCACTCTCGAATCGAAGCCAAACCGAAACCGAGAAAAAAGCGAAAGTGATCCTCCCCGAAAACCTGTTGGCTCCTCTGCAAAACTCACGATCGAAAAGAAGAGTGATTTATTGGACTTTTTGTGGCTTTTTCCTAATGCTCTTCGGACACTTTCTCCTCGCTGATCCCGCTGCGCATACGAATTAACAATAAAAGTAGAAACCACGGGGCACGGGTATGGTATCCTCAACCTTGTTATGTAAGTCGGGGGATTGTGCATTACAGTTCAATATGATGGAGTCACTGGCACTCGGGTTACTGAGTGGTTGTGCCCCGCCGGCAACTTTTGTTTTGTGTTGCCGTCGTGATGCAACAGTTGTCGTCGTGATTGTTTTCCTCGGACGTTTTTATCTTTTATTTTTGTTTTTGCTTCTGCTGGGCTTCGGTTTGTTTATTTAATTTCTGGTAATTGCCGCCACATGCACTTGCATGTGTAATGAGGTATCCGCGAGGAGGGCGTGGCATGCCCGCAGGGAGGCCCCGATTGCGTAACATCAGGGTAGGACCGAAGTTCGTAGGGCTTACATGATTTTATAACTTATATCACTCAGGAGAGTTCTGGTTTATTGCTACTAGCTTTAGTAAAATTGTTGGATTGGTAGTATTTCTTATAATCCTTTTTTATATGATCTAATAAGGGTTCAAAAACAAATATTTTCTTTCTTACCATTATTTTTAACATTTCTCTTTTTGAACACAATTTCCATTATCCCTTAAACGCGTTTCCTTTGTGTTTAGAATTACCTCATTTTTATTTCATAGTTCATACATTGTAAAATGAGCTTCAATCTAAATTTACGCTAGTTAAAATATTTTCATAATATAGTTTACTTTATCGCAAAAAATCTGTGTGGTTGTGTGTGAGTGACAGTGTGCACGATCATCGCCTAAATAAATTATTTTCATATAGGTAGTTGTTTATTTTACGGTCTAACTAAAGAATGACTGCGTTTTATTTTGACACTTTTCCCCACTCGTTAGTTTTCAGAATTGAGGCGAGCTTTGGAATTCCGTTTCGCGAAATCCGGAAATCCCACACCCAAAAAAAAGTAGTCATCAATATGCCCCTATTTAGGTGTCAATGTGACACTATTGAGTGGAAAAAAATCTTTGATCCGAACGTCATTAAATTGACCCTATTCTGGTGTCACTTTAATACTTTCGAAAATATTAATTTGACCCCTTTTGGTGTCAAAGAGCCACTAGCCGGTGTCATTTTCTTAGTATTAAATAAAATTTGACATTTGCTTGAAAGCTCCTGTAACCATTCTGCCATGGCAATAATTAATATGGGAATGGCTCAGGGGCCAAGGCGCTTGGTTCTGATATTATTTTGTGCTCGGGGGAACGAGGTTCGAATCCCGCTCGCAACAACATTATTTTTTTTTTTTATCAGTAATCTAACACAACTTAACATTTTTGTTCTTAAAATGATATATATGCATTTTAAAAACTTTTTACCTAATATGATTTATCTGGGTTTCGAACCGGGGACCTCTCGCATCAGAGGCAGACGCCTTACCAACTGGGCCATCGAACCATTTTGCGCGCGAGCGAACTCTTGACAAGTATAAACGAAATCGATACTCGAGTAAAACATCGCCGAACTTCGAACTTCGAAAATCAAAAATGATAATTATTGGGATCGATGTGAACCTAGTTTTATCAAAATGACACTATTTAGTATCAAATACGATTTTTCTGAAAACGCGGTGTACTTTTGACACTCATTTGGGAGCAAATTGACCCTAAAAATTTGATCCTAGGGGCAGTGTCATTTTAACCCACAGTTATTAAATTGACACTCAGGATTTTTTTTTTGGGTGCAGTTCTTCACTTCGACACTCGATGCCAAGTTTAAATTAGTTTTAATTGTATATAAATTATGGTTAAAGTAGGAGTAATTGTAAATTGCTTTAAATTAAAACTTTGCCATATTCAGTCTAAACTTAAAAGCTTTTCAAATTAAAGAGGACTATATAGTTTGCCATTGCGTTTTAAAAAAAGCCCCGCTGGAGCGATCGGTTCACTCTTCATAAATCATTTCCACTCGTAATGAAATAAATTACACATTAAATAAAATCATGATGAGATAAAACAAGTTAAAAATTTCTCCTTCTCAAATGTTGCGACTTATTCGATGAATTTTGATTGTGGGCGTGGCAATGGTTGAATGTCTTTTATGTGCACTTAGGTCGAGAGGTATAAATAAGAAATATAACTAAGCAATGTGGATTGCCTTTGAATGAAACATTTCGTTATTGCATTTGGGGAGCCCAGCTTTGCTAATCATACATAGGTTAATGATTACGTTCGTAGAGTTGATAAATTCAGAAGGTCTTCATGCAGTCTATGGAAATGATAAATCTTCTTCCCCTTTCTTCTCTGGCTACTTAACCTAACACTTGCTCACTTGAACGGTTGGATTTTGTTCCTTACGGTGTATGTATATACAATAAAAGGTTTGATCTTCCAAGTAAACCAAATCCAGCCGGCGCTCCTCAGTAGATCCGCTGCAGATACAGACGTCCCAGGGGCAGGGCCCGCTCCACGAAGCTCTTCTCGGCCCTCGCCGAGGATTTGTCCAGCGCACTGGTCCTGGCCACCGTCTCCTGGCTCTCGTCCAGCTTCAGGCTCTCGGCATCGCCCTTGGGATCCACACCGCCCACCTGGCCCGCCCCCGAGCCCAGCTCATCGATCTCCAGGGTGGGCACTTGACTGGATTTGGGGGTGACGGGTTCCCGTTCCCGCTCCTCCCCGCTGCCCAGCTCCACCTCCTCTCCGCCGCCCTGGCCGATCCTCTCCAGCTGCAGGTCGCTGCCGTTCTGGATGCGGGTCTCCCCGGACATGTCCTCGCCACTGTACATCAACAGCGGCACCAGGACGCTCTTCTCGCGGACGGAAGACCCGGCGGCCATCATTTCATCGGTGGCCGTGGTGGCGGTGGTTCTGGTGGACGACGCCTTGTCCTGGTAGAGATCGATGTCGCCGCCACCGCTTCCACTGCCGCTGCCATCCAGACTGGAGTCGGGCGTTAGCTTCACATGCCGGTGATGGTCCGCCTCGAAGGGGCTGGGTATGCTCCTGGGCTCGTCCTTCTCGGACTCGGCTATGTCCTCCAGCTCCACGAGCGGAAAGTTCACGTCCCGCAGACTGAAGTCGTCCTCGGGCAGCGAGGGGTAGGCGGGGTTGGACTCCACCTGGGGCACATCGTCCTCCACCTCCGTGTGGTGGGTGGTGGAGGAGCTGGGGGGCGGCATCTCACTGATCACGCCGGCAGGGGAATCTGTGGTGATCTCTACCGCGGATTTGGTGGATTGACTGGTTGGCTTGGATGGCTCATCGGTGGTAACTCTGACCATGGATCCGGGTCCCTCCGTCGTGGATATTATGTGGTAGATGTTGTCACTGCCCGCCGTATCCGGTTCGAGCTCCCCATCCGCTGGCTCGACCAGTGAGTCCCTGAACCCATTGGAGATGAACAGGCCCCCGGCGGATTCGTCGTAGTTCTTGGTGCTCTGGGAGGGAGAACCCTCCGTTGTGTACTCCCTCTTGATGTTCACCTTGCTGGGATCGTTCCCGGCCAGCGGCTGCAGTCCGTCGGCGTTGTAGGTGACCACCAGTGGCTTCACCTGTTGCTCCACGATGTTGCTGCTGCTGGGGGAGAGGGAGGTAGAGAGGGAGGGGGAGCCAAGGGGTCTCTCGATGTAGCCCACCGAGGCGATGAGCTTCAAGCTCTCGCTGCCGCCCGGAAGAGCTTTCGGGTTGCTGTCTTGGCTGGGCGTTGGTGTTGCTGCCGTCTTCGTTGGTGTTGCTGCCGTCGCGGGCGATGTTGCTGCTGCAGGAGTGCTGCTGATGGCGGGCGCTTCTGTTGTGACTGCTGCTCCTGCTCCTGCTGCTGCTCCTGCCGTGGTGCTGTCCACCGAACCGGTGGTTACTGGTGGTGCAGGCGCTGGTCCTTCGGTGGTTGAGCCGCTGGGCTTTCGCGTTGGAATCGACGGCTTGGCCTTGTTGTCGTCGGTTATCCGGATCTCCGTCGGCTTGGTTATCTCTTTGATGGTGATGTTCCAGTTGAAGCCAGCCGGCTGAGCCAAGTTAACCGGCTTTGGGTTGGGCGTGGTGGAGCTGCTCGCCGGCTCGCTGGCCAGCGGCGGGTTGTTGTCCAAAACTGGGGGTGGGGGAAACGTTTAGATTCAGTCGAACCACACGGCGATCGAGCACTCACCCGGACAATTGTCGTACTCCGGACAACAGCGACCGGGCACGTATTTGGGCATGCAGTCGTCGCGCCGGTAACAGCTCACCGGGATGCAAACAATCTCGCCGCCTGCAACAAATGAAGTGTGTTTGAGCAAGTGTGCTGGGAAAACAGTGGGGAATTCAACGGAAATATTTCCGGCTAACATTGCTTTAGAAACTTTCAAGAAAATAAAAGGCAAATACCGAATATAAAAATTGGCTAATACCCACAAGTTGTAAAAAATGGGTTTGCCCGTGCAGCAATAATATATTTAGAATATACTTTTTGGTATTCGTAAAAATGTACTTAGCAAACCTACAAAAATACTCTCCCTGAATTTTAGAAATTCAAAGTTAATGCCGAATTTTATTTACATTGTAAAATAACATGTGGTTTATTTATTTGTACTTTATTTATTTATTTATTTGGTAAAAATGGGATATTTATACCCTTGTAGAGGGTATTATAATTTCAGTCAGATGTTTGCAACGCAGTGAAGGAGACGTTTCCGACCACATAAAGTATATATATTCTTGATCAGCACCAATAGCCGAGTCTATCTAGCCATGTCCGTCTGTCTGTCTGTCCGTTTGTCCATCTTTCCGTTTCTATGCGAACTAGTCTCTCAGTTTTAAAGCTATCGCGATGAAACTTTCCCGAAAGTCTTCTTTCTATTGCAGGTAGTACATATGTCGGAGCGAGCCGGATCGGACCACTATATCTTAAGGCTTCCATAGGAATATTCAAACAAATATCAGAAAATTCATTGTAACTTTGTAGGAAGTAGGCGTTTTGATTCTTGACTACTTAAAAACAAAATTTAAATAAATAGAAACGCTCAGTCTGGAAACCCTGGAACTGCACCGAGTGAGCATTCTTTTATCTGCAAGGGTATATAAGCTTCGGCTGGCCGAAGGTAGCTTCCTTTCTTGTTTTATTTAATATTTGTGCACCTTATTTAATTGCGTGGGTTATATTATTATTAATTTTTTTGTGATTTTTATTGTTTATACTATAGCCACAATGTTAGTTTCATGGCAATTATTCACTCCAGTTTGCAGCTAATTTGAAGCTGTATGCACTCACCTTTGCAGTAGCACACGGTGCACGGCGTGTCGGGGGCAACCAATTTATCACCATTGGCATAAGTTTTGCCATCTTTTTCGCAATCTGGCGGGGAAAGACGGAGATTTGCATAAATGCATCCGAAACTCGGAGCGGTAGTTCACTTACCGCATTTATAATCGGGGCAGCAGTGGCCGGTTCGCTGGATGGCGCGACAACTGGTCTGATATTCGCAGCGGGTCGCGGTTTCGTCCACCCAAAGTCCATCCTGCAGGCATTGGCCTATAAACAATTTGAGGGGTGGCGCGTTGTTTGTCATTTAGTTTTGGGGGAGTGGGCGTGGGTGGCGGGATTAGTTTTCGGGTCTTACCCTGGGGCTGCTGCTGCTCCGGGGAGGACGGGGACTCCGTGGTGCTGGCTGCCAGGCCGTAGAATCCGGCACTTCCGCTGCTCGAGCTGCTGGCAGCGATACTCGGCGTGACCGCGACCGTGACGACTGTGGAGGATGCGCTGCTGCTTTCGATGGCGGGCACTGCAAAAAAGGAGAAAACACGAGTGTGAAATAGGAGAAAGCAGAAAGTCAACAAAGGCCAGTGAACAGAATGGTGCACTGTGGGAAAAAAGAAGGAGCAGCAAGAAAATCCAGCGCCGCCATAAGATGGGCAGTCCCATAAAACTTAGTCCCAGTCCCAGACTTAGTTGCTTTTTAAATCCCTGCCTCGTCCTTTTGTGCCCTCATCTCTAAGACTTCTTTTCTGAAAGCCTTGTTTGGTTAAAGGGAAAAGTGCGGGCCATTCTCAAAAATGTATGAAATTTTAAGTTTTGGATTGATTGACAGAGGATAATTAAACCCCGTTCAGGTGTGCTAATATTTAAAGTGTCCTTTATGGTTTAATGTTAAGATAATGGCAAAATACTTATATATATCACTTAATACTTATACCATTTACCAGTTACTACAGGATCTCTTTGGATAGAAAACAGAGATGACCCCAACAGCACGTATAGCGAAATGTATTATTTTGTAGGGTATAAAGAAGTTGAAATATTAATGACAGGTAGATTAGTAAAAATTGGTAATAAATTTAAGGCTTTCTATTGTAACTTTTTCAATAAATAAAGTGGTGACATTTTTCATTGAGACTATAGGAAAACGTTTTTAAAAGGCACCACTTCCAAACCAGATTTTATCACCTTTTCGATCTTGTGCTTCTTAATTTATAAATTTTTATAAACTTTAAAATCAGAAAAATTACTTAATCTGTCAAAATGTATTTACTTGAGATTAATTTTAACTGATTTTAAAATATACAGTAATTTATTCCCTTTTTTGTTGCGGAATGTGACATATTTGTATGTTTTGTTTTTTAAAGATTTGCACGTAGTGTAGTGTCCCGTTCTTTATATTTACTTTTATATTTAAGGCTATTAAGCAGAACTGTCCCTCATGGCTAAGTGGCTTGTGCAAAGCTATCAGAATCTTCCTTTAATGAAATGAAAATGCAAATTGCCTTCATGCTTTAATTTACAAATGTAATTGGATTATGTTTTTTCGGATTTTTGAAGAGTGTACGGCGGAGCAAGGGGGGACGTAATGGAGAAGGCGGAGCGGTGGGAGGGGCAGATGCCCTTTGCCCCCCTGTCACTGGGTACATATTTGAATGAATGACATTTTGATAACAGTTGTTTGTTGTTCCTGTTGCTGCTTCTGCTTCTGCCTTTGCTTCTGCTGCTGTTGGCCAAGGTAAAATGCTATCAAAATACGGCAAAGTTAAATGAGTTTAGTTTTAGTTTGGCTTTTTTGTTTGCCCAGTTTGAGGCGACTCCCAATTGGGAAACCGAAGCGAAGAGGAGCACAAGATGGAGTGGCAGCCGCTTTGTCTACGGTCGTTGATTGTCCAGTTGCCGTATAATTCCGATTGACAAGCCTTGTCCGACCACATTTTCCATTTGCCCCTGAAATTGTCTCTCTCTTAAAGGTTTCGGTGGCAACACAATCTTTTGAGCTGGGGTCTTGTCATTTGCCATGAAAAATGATTAAATATGTGCTAGCATTAATCATACGCCCAGTGGTTCAGTTTTACTGTGATTGTGCTGCTGTCCATCCTTTATTTTGAGTCCCCCTTCATAAACTGGGACCCATCTATGTACATCCCACGCTAAATTGTTTTCCTAGCGCTCATTAAGGGAACTGCATATGCTGCTCACTTTTCCTTCTCCGTGCGAACAAAAAGGGGAAAATGGTTTAGATTTATTATGTTCCTTAATTTGGAGGAACAAACTCTCCGAAGTTTATTAAATTTAAAAGTCGCTCTACTAGCTATCTACGTATTAATTCAGTAATATTATTGTTTTAATTATCTGTAATTACTTTACCTAATAAATATTTAATTGAAATTCTTAGCTTTATTCCCAATTAAAGTCTCCCTGCATTATCTGCATGAAACTCGAATCAAACCAGCTGCGCCCCATATCATTTCTAACATCTTCCCTTGCGCTCCGCACTTAGCTAAGTATTCTGAAATCATTCTTACCGTCTGCGACTTTCATTTAGCCTCTTTAAGCACTTTTGCTTGTTGCTCGTTATGCAAGGCACAGAAACTGAAACAGAAACAGACACACATGGATGAAATCCGAAACGCTGCAATTAGTAGAACAGCTTCCCGTTTTGCGCTCTGTTTTCATTGTGGAACGCAGCGCTAATTCCGCGACTTTCCATTGTCTGTGGGTCTCTGGGACTCCGGGTTTTTTCTTTTTTAATTTTTGGCTGGCCAACACGTTTCAAATGAGCAAAATGATTATTCACATTATGTGGAGCAGACAGCGAGGGACGGCTGACATTTGTCTGGGACTCGAGTAACACGATTCGGTCAGATTACGTATACGCCACCGGGAAGATCTTATTTTAGATTTTCTCGTCAGCTTCCTCGCTTGTTTTATCTTACCCTCTTTGTGGGTGCTTAAATTCTGTAAGCGGCTAAACTTTTTTGTCTCAGCCGACTGACAATAAATTGCTGCCTGCGAAATTGCATTGTAAATTAGCTTTTGATTGTTTTCCGCAAGGCAGAAAGTTATTATGCAAATGCCTGTAAATGTGACGCGATTTGCCGCTGCAGTGGCTGCTGATTCATACCCATAAATGTCATTGATTCTAAATTAATGTTGCTTTTATTTTGTCGTGATAAATGATAAGCACAATTCCGGGCAATTGTTATAAACAAGCTGGCAAACAGCCGAGATGCCGCCTAGAATGACTTTCAGCTTAGCCAGGGGCGTGGACGAAGCGGATTTCGAAGGGGGTGCAGGGATTGTAGGTACCCACTTTAGCGTGGATAGTATCAGCTGAACATCCATTAAAACATAGCGAAATGGAGCAAATTTTTGACAGCCCCTCGCGGAACCACACCACTGAACCACACTATTAATAATACTTAACACCATTGATAAATACGGCCGGCTATAAACGCCTTAGGCCGAAACCAACAGCAATAACAAATCATCCCAAAGTCCCGAGCCAAGGAGCGTGGAAATTGCGGAAAATTCTCTGGCCTGCCGCCGCCTACACTTCATAAACTACTCAACTTCAGCCCGGCCCAGAAAATGTTTTCCATCATTATTACATTTCAACCAAGTGGCTTTGCCGGCGCTATCCTCGCTCCCACTTTCCGGATCCGGAGCATTCTTAAGCTGAATTTCCGCCGAGCGTTTAAATCGTTGCGGGGGTCGGTTCATCTGGTCGCTCCTTCAGTTTTCTTAAGCAGTTTGCGGTTAGTTAGACAGAAAATGTGTTAGTTTGACATGACTTCTGTTCGAGCAAACGCAATAAAGAAATTCCTAGCCCATGAATTGTGAGTGTAATTGCAGTTTTATCGGGCAAAGTTGGTTGAGTCTCTGAACCATGCAATAATCGGGAATGCAAAGGGACTAATAAAAATTGTAGGACTCAGAAACATAATTATGTACAGGAGATTACAGGCAGTGGGAAATAAACTTAAAATTTAATATTTAATTAAATTTTATTTGACTAAATAAGGTATTGTAAAAGTAATTCAATTAAGTAACTTAACTATAACGATTTCTTTGACACCCCGTACAAAAGTGAATGACAAGTAATTGCTGAAGTGAAAGATTATAAATCTTGCATTAGATTGCTTTTGAATTTGGCAATCCGATCTTTGCATGCATGCCAAACTAAACTCAAAATTGGTAACAAGAATATGCCGTCATGCTTATAGACAGCATTATTCACAATACATGGGGATATATCCCCATGATAATTCCATTGTTTCCATGGGGAATTTAAACGGAAACCGAGAAACCAGCGGCGCGTAAGTCAGGCAGTTGTGAATGCGATTTCAAATTGACGCTTAAATGGCATTCAAAACGAAAGCAAAAACAATGAAAAACAATCAAAATACGGCGAACGAGTGACGGAGTGACGGAGAGACTGACAGACGACAACAGACAAATGACAACAAATGAGCTTTTCGAGTGTTCTGAGCTTGTTGTTGCACTTGTCATCGTTCTGGACAAAGATGATAAATGAGGTGGGCCAGAAGGCGACGCAAGCCGACTGGCAGAGACTTTTGTCTCAAAAACCACAAACTCATCGCGCAACAAAAAAACCTCAGGAAACAAATTATACGGTTTAATGGCAGGTGATATGCGCGAAGCAAAATACGCTGGATGATAAAAGGGGGAGAGGAATTCATATGCTGGATTGAACAAAGTTAAAATTGGAAACAGTTGGTGTTATGATGGAACCAATCAAAACTTTAACAAGCTCCGCAGCAACGATTTCCATTTTCATAAAAAAAATTAAGAAACTTGAGAAAAAATGGTCAATTTATATAGTTTTTTTTACGCTTGAAGAAAATAATTTATATGCACGTTAAAACATATGTCCTAAATAAATCAAAAGTTCAACAAACATGTAAGTGAATTTAACTTTAACTTTAAAGAATACATGAAGAATTATTTTATTATAAATGTGAATATAAAAATTAGCAGCAGCGAATTTTGTAGAACTAAGGGTTTAGATCACTTTATTTATATTACGCAATTAATTTTTAATTTTTTTGGTAATATTTTGTAACTTTGCGGCTTTAGGAATTATTAAATTAAATTATCGCATACCTGGCAATGCAATGAAAAAGACCCAGCAGATTATCAAACTATCAGTAGAGACGTGTAAAATGCAACAGTAATCACATGAGTGTTAACTCAGACAATTTGGCACAGTCACAGTCACAATAGCAATTCAATTTCGCTTTTCAACCCAGAACTTGCGTGTTGGTTTCCCCCTTCCAATCCACAATCCAATCCCTTTCCTGTCGGCACACCGAGGTCCGATGTAAATGTCCGGCTGGGCTATTTAAATTAATAATGGCATAAGCCAAGCTCGCTGACTAGATGCCTTTTGTCGCATCACTCGGGCTGTCATTAGGCGCATTAGCCCCTCCAACACGTGGCCAAGATCCCAATAGGCTGGGCGCTTCGGTGGACAGATGGAGATACTCCCTGTCAGGCCCA